GAGGAAGAACTTCCTGACTGTGATTGCCGTTCAGCAGTGGAACTCTCTGCCCTGGAGTGTGGTGGAGGCTCCTGATGACCCCCCCCAGGTAGCGGAGTCTCCCGCCTTCAAGTTGGTTTGAAGCGCAGCAGGGAGTTCCGCAGTTCCGTAGAGCAACATTGGGTCCGACTGATGGAATGTGCCCCAGCCAGCAGCTCAAAGCAAAGAACTGCACGAAGCTTTCTTTCACTTTCCCCCTCTCCCTATCTTTGTAACCAATCCCTCAATAAAACACTTAAGTTTTGAAACTTTGAATCCTCTCCGCATGATACTTTGTGTCTTTTTACTGATTGCTGCTTTTCTAAACTCACCCTAAAACCTTTTTCTGAGCTCTGGGAGACCGTGAGCTCACTGGGGACGCCTTCCTGGCCTCCCCAGGCCCCCGGATTTGCGTTAGCTAAAATCGTGGATACGGAGGTTTTCCTAATGGCCCCCTTATCCGCCACAACAACAACATGGCGGATCGGGGCCGTTCAAATTTTATATTTTTCTACACTCAATTCTAAGACTAACTGCTATCTTGGTTTTCTCATTTTGGACTCCTGCATTTGTACAGTAATTGTTATTGTTTAATCATTAAAATTCGGCCAAGCCACCAGCTGATTGTCAAACTCGCCGGCTTTTGCCACTTGCTTCACTCCCCTCGTCGCTGCTCGCTCCAGCATGGTTCCCGCCGCCTGCAATCAACCCCGATTGCCCAAGAGGAAGCCTTGGAAGTGGGGACCGGGCAGGGAAGGCCCGATCCCCGGTTGGGAGCGCTAGTTCCACCAAGGACGGGACAGTGGAACGTAGCCCCCCCTTCAGCTCCAGCTCCTGTTCCCCAAAATGGACTGATCTTCTAATGGCCAGCCTAAACCATAGGCTGGCCCCTGCATCCAAGCCCCTCTGTTTGGACTTTTGAGATTTCTGGACTTTCTTTCCTTTCATGAAAATGAAATACAAAATAAAGTATTTTCTTATGGATGTGGGTTGGGATGGGTGGTGGGTTGTGATACATGAAATGCCTGGATATGGATGATGCCTGTATTTTGTAATTATGAAATATGTATCCCTCAATGAACTCCCCTGTATCTTCCCCTCCTTGACCCCTTACCCCAAGAAACCGGCGTGGCCAGGAACTGCCTGGGGAAAGAGCCCAAGCCTCTTTTCCCTAAATCACCCATTGATTGACCCATCCTGCATGGACAATGCTGCTGGCCCCCCCAATTTCGTCTTCGGAGCAGGGCCAACGAAGGAGGGCAGGGTCAGCAGAGCCTCGGAATAAAAGACTGATTGATTCACTCAAGAAATTGTTGATCCTCCGGGCGGTCCGATTTCGACCCAGCTATTCATATCACTTGCCAGACCCATTAAGGACAGGAAAGCCTTTGTTTGACAAACATCACCTAGGACAATGGCCCGCATTCCTGCGGGCAGGAAATCCCAAATCCCATCATCTCTTCCCCATTGTCCGCGGCTGTCACGCCTCCTCGCTCCTGATTGGCCAGGACCTAGGAAGCGAGCAGAGGGCGCCCATTGGCCCTCCCGAGGCAGAGAAACGCTCCCATTGGCTCCGGACGGGGGAGGGCGGGATTACCTCCTCCCAGCTGTTCCAGCCTCAGCCAATCAGCGTGAAGCCAGCTGACAGGGGGGCGGGCGGGATTTTCAAACTGCTTTTCCTTTGTCTCACACTGTATAAAAATGCCTGGAAATTCTTGTACTGCATGCTTTACAGCGGAATGATTCCTGTAATGCATCCTTTTCAGCTGAATCGCAAATAAACCTCGATCGCTGGACTTCTTCCGCCTCTGATGAGCTTATTAATTCTTTTAAATATTTCTGCGCTCTTGGATTGGCCTCCAGAAAGCTCACCAAGGTATCCAGGACTCATTGATGCGGTCTTTGGGCTCTCCTCCCTGGAGAGGCCCCCTAAAAGAGCTCGATATCACTCCTTCTTTGGAAGCTTTGAAACAGAGGCTGGATGGCCATCTGTCAGGGGTGATTTGAATGCAATATTCCTGCTTCTTTGCAGAATGGGGTTGGACTGGATGGCCCATGAGGTCTCTTCCAACTCTAGGATTCTATGATTCTACATTTGTGCTCTTGGAGGACAGCAAAGCACAACAAAGGGAGGATCTACAGTGTGTATTTCACTTGAACCGCCATGACTCAATGGAAATGAAGGATGGGAGTTGCAGCTTTGCAAGGTCTTGAGCCTTCCCTGCGTAAGAATTGGGTGCTTCACCAAACTACAAATCCCAGGGTTCCATAACTTAGAACGATGGCAGTTGCAGTGATGTCAAACTGCATTAAATCCACAGTGTGTTGATGCATCTAAAGAAAAGTGTTGCAGCGAAACATGCCCAGCTCCTTAAGCCGCTCCTCATAGGGCTTGTTCTCCAGACCCTTGATCGTTTTAGTCGCCCTCCTCTGGACACATTCCAGCTTGTCAATATCTCTTGAATTGTGGTGTTTAAAAGCCTCCATAGAAGAAGCCTCCACCACACTCCGGGACAGAGAGTTCCACTGCTGAACGGCTCTCACAGTCAGGAAGTTCTTCCTCATGTTCAGGTGGAATCTCCTCTCTTGTAGTTTGAAGCCATTGTTCCGCGTCCTAGTCTTCCAGGAAGCAGAAAACAAGCTTGCTCCCTCCTCCCTGTGTCTTCCTCTCACATATTTATACATGGCTATCATATCTCCTCTCAGCCTTCTCTTCTTCAGGCTAAACATGCCCAGCTCCTTAAGCCGCTCCTCATAGGGCTTGTTCTCCAGACCCTTGATCTGCTCCTCCTCCCTGTGACTTCCTCTCACATATTTATACATGGCTATCATATCTCCTCTCAGCCTTCTCTTCTTCAGGCTAAACATGCCCAGCTCCTTAAGCCGCTCCTCATAGGGCTTGTTCTCCAGACCCTTGATCATTTTAGTCGCTCTCCTCTGGACACAATCCAGCTTGTCAATATCTCTCTTCAACTGTGGGGCCCAGAATTGGACACAATATTCCAGGTGTGGTCTAACCAAGAATATTTGCAAGGGTAAAAAGTTCATTAAGGGCTTATTCCGCCTTTCCCCTCCCCCCCATTATGGTTCTAGTGGTCTCTTCCAACGCTATGATGGTTCCAGTGGTGTCAAACTGCATGAAATCCACAGTGTGTAGATGCTTCTAAAGAAAAGGATATTTGGGGAAAACCAGAGAATATTTGCAAGGGGGAAAAAGTTAATTAAGGGCTTATTCCGCCTCTCCCCCTCCCCCCATTATGGCCCTAGTAGTCTCTTCCAACGCTATGATTCTATTAATTCTATGGGCGATTCCATTGACGGAGAGGGGGACGCAAAATGGTTCCAGTGGTGTCAAACTGCATGAAATCCACAGTGTGTAGATGCTTCTAAAGAAAAGGATATTTGGGAAAAACCAGAGAATATTTGCAAGGGGAAAAAAACTAATTAAGGGCTTATTCTGCCTCTCCCCTTCCCCCCCATTATGGCCCTAGTGGTCTCTTCCAACGCTATGATTCTATTAATTCTATGGGCGATTCCATTGACGGAGAGGGGGACGCAAAATGGTTCCAGTGGTGTCAAACTGCATGAAATCCACAGTGTGTAGATGCTTCTAAAGAAAAGGATATTTGGGAAAAACCAGAGAATATTTGCAAGGGGAAAAAAACTAATTAAGGGCTTATTCTGCCTCTCCCCTTCCCCCCCATTATGGCCCTAGTGGTCTCTTCCAACGCTATGATTCTATTAATTCTATGGGCGATTCCATTGACGGAGAGGGGGACGCAAAATGGTTCCAGTGGTGTCAAACTGCATGAAATCCACAGTGTGTAGATGCTTCTAAAGAAAAGGATATTTGGGAAAAACCAGAGAATATTTGCAAGGGGGAAAAAGTTAATTAAGGGCTTATTCCGCCTCTCCCCCCCCCCCCATTATGGCCCTAGTGGTCTCTTCCAACGCTATGATTCTATTAATTCTATGGGCGATTCCATTGACGGAGAGGGGGACGCAAAATGGTTCCAGTGGTGTCAAACTGCATGAAATCCACAGTGTGTAGATGCTTCTAAAGAAAAGGATATTTGGGGAAAAACCAGAGAATATTTGCAAGGGGGAAAAAGTTAATTAAGGGCTTATTCCGCCTCTCCCCCTCCCCCCCATTATGGCCCTAGTGGTCTCTTCCAACGCTATGATTCTATTAATTCTATGGGCGATTCCATTGACGGAGAGGGGGACGCAAAATGGTTCCAGTGGTGTCAAACTGCATGAAATCCACAGTGTGTAGATGCTTCTAAAGAAAAGGATATTTGGGAAAAACCAGAGAATATTTGCAAGGGGAAAAAAACTAATTAAGGGCTTATTCTGCCTCTCCCCTTCCCCCCCATTATGGCCCTAGTGGTCTCTTCCAACGCTATGATTCTATTAATTCTATGGGCGATTCCATTGACGGAGAGGGGGACGCAAAATGGTTCCAGTGGTGTCAAACTGCATGAAATCCACAGTGTGTAGATGCTTCTAAAGAAAAGGATATTTGGGAAAAACCAGAGAATATTTGCAAGGGGAAAAAAACTAATTAAGGGCTTATTCTGCCTCTCCCCTTCCCCCCCCATTATGGCCCTAGTGGTCTCTTCCAACGCTATGATTCTATTAATTCTATGGGCGATTCCATTGACGGAGAGGGGGACGCAAAATGGTTCCAGTGGTGTCAAACTGCATGAAATCCACAGTGTGTAGATGCTTCTAAAGAAAAGGATATTTGGGAAAAACCAGAGAATATTTGCAAGGGGGAAAAAGTTAATTAAGGGCTTATTCCGCCTCTCCCCCTCCCCCCCCATTATGGCCCTAGTGGTCTCTTCCAACGCTATGATTCTATTAATTCTATGGGCGATTCCATTGACGGAGAGGAGGACGCAAAATGGCGATCTTTTCGAAAACCGGAAGTTCCGTCTCATTCTCGGCTTCCCTGACTCTATGATAAGGTGTATTCCAGAGCGGCTTCCTGCTTCCCTTCCCTGCTCTCCCTCTTCCGGGTTTGGAAAGTGAAGTTTGGAGCTGCTTCAGTTCTGGTGAGAAAGAAATAATTAGAAATAATATATAGAATATTAAATTAAATACATTTATTTGGGGTGGAAGGGTGTATTTTAATTCTGCTGATGTTTAATTTGAGTCCCAGTTTTGGGGAAAATGATAATAATAATATAATATAATAATAATAGAAATATAATAAAATAAAATAATATAAAATAATATAATGTGTGACAATATATTTATAATTATAAAATACTAATGTAAGAATATAATAATATGACAACAATAATTTAATAAAATATTATTTATTTATTTATTTATTTATTTATTTACTTTGCTTATATACCGCTGTATCTCAAGCCCGAAGGCGACTCACAGCGGTTCACAAACAGTAAAACAGTAGAAACAGCAGTGGTTCCATACAACATATAACAATTGACTTAACACATTATCCATAAATTACCAATAAGCAATTACAATGCACAATTATTACAAAAAACAACCGTACCCAATCTTCTCATCATCCAAGCGTAGTCCAGGTTCGTCGTCCATTGTTCCATTCCTATGTTCCATTACCAGATTGCACTAAATTCCTCAAACGCCTGCACAAACATCCAGGTCTTCACCTTTTTGCGGAATACCATTAGAGATGGTGCTAGTCTAATGTCCGTAGGAAGGGCGTTCCACAGCCGAGGAGCCACCACCGAGAAGGCCCTATCTCTCGTCCCCACCAGCCGAGCTTGAGAAGCAGGCGGGATCGAGAGCAGGGTCTCCCCGGAAGATCTCAAAGTCCTGGTGGGTTCATAGGCAGAGATGCGGTCAGATAGGTAGCTTGGGCCGGAACCGTTTAGGGCTTTAAAGGCCAACGCCAGCACTTTGAATTCAGCCCGGTAGCAGATCGGTAGCCAGTGGAGTTGGCGCAACAGGGGGGTTGTATGCTCCCTGCGCTCCGCTCCTGTTAAAATCATGGCTGCCGAGCGTTGGACTAGTTGGAGCTTCCGAGCTGTCTTCAAAGGCAACCCCACGTAGAGAGCGTTGCAGTAGTCTAAATATGATAATAAAATAATAGAAATATAAAATAATATAAAAATAATATGTGTGATAATGTATTTATAATAAATAATAAATGAAAATATACTAATATAAGAGTATAATAATATGAGAACAGTAACTTAATAAAATATAATAATAAAATAATGGAAATATAAAAAATTAAATAATATAAAAATAATATAATGTGTGATGTTGTTGTTCATTCGTTCAGTCGTCTCCGACTCTTCGTGACCTCATGGACCAGCCCACGCCAGAGCTCCCTGTCGGCCGTTACCACCCCCAGCTCCCTCAAGGTCAGTCCAGTCACTTCAAGGATGCCATCCATCCATCTTGCCCTTGGTCGGCCCCTCTTCCTTTTGCCTTCCAATATATTTATAATAATAAATAATAATAAAATAATAGAAATATAAAAATAAAATTATATAAAAACAATATAATGTTTGATAATATATTTATAATAAATAATAATAAATAAAAATAAAATACTAATATAAGAATATAATAATATGACAACAATAATTTAATAAAATATAATAATAAAATAATAGAAATATAAAAATAAAGTAATATAAAATAATATAATGTGTGATGATATATTTATAATAATAAATAAAATACTCATATAAGAATATAACAATATGACAACAATAATTTAATAAAATATAATAATAAAATAATAGAAATATAAAATAATATAAAAATAATATGTGTGATAATGTATTTGTAATAAATAATAATAAATAAAAATAAAATAGTCATATAAGAATATAATAATATGACAACAATAGTATAATAAAATAATAGAAATATAAAAAATAAAATAATATATAATGTGTGATAATATATAATAAATAATAATAAATAAAATACTAATATAACAATATAATAATATGACAACAATAATATAATAAAATATAATAATAAAATAATAGAAATATAAAATAATATAAAATAATACGTGTGATAATGTATTTATAATAAATAATAAATAATAAAATTGTCATATAAGAATATAATGATATGACAACAATAATATAATAAAATAATATAATAAAATAATAGAAATATAAAAAATAAAATAATATAATGTGTGATAATATATTTACAGTAATAAATAATAATAGAAATATAAAAATAATATAATAAAATAATATAAAAATAATATATTTATAATAAAAATAGAATACTAATATAAGAATATAATAATATGACAATAGTATAATAAAATATAATAATAAAAGAATAGAAATATAAAAACTAAAATAATATAAAATAATATAATGTGTGATAATATATTTATAATAAATAATACTAATAAATAATAAAATACTAATATAAGAATATAATAACAATAATAATATAATAAAAGAATAGAAATATAAAAAATAAAATAATATGAAAATAATATAATGTGTGATAATTTATTTATAATAAATAATAAATAAAATACTAATATAAGAATATAATAATATGACAACATTAACTTAATAAAATATAATAATAAAAGAATAGAAATATAAAATAATATAAAATAATATAATGTGTGATAATATATTTATAATAAATAATAATAAATTAAAAAAAACTAAGAATATAATAATATGACAACAATAGTATAATAAAATATAATAATAAAATAATAGAAATATAAAAATAATATAATGTGTGATAATGTATTTATAAGATATAATAATAAATAAAAATAAAATAGTCATATAAGAATATAAGATTATGACAACAATAGTATAATAAAATATAATAATAAAATAAAATAATAGAAAAATGATATAATGTGTGATAATATATGTATAATAAATAATAATAATAAATAATAAAATACTTATAAAGAATATAATAATATGACAATAATTTAATAAAATATAATAATAATAGAAATATAAAAAAGAAAATAATATAGGGGTAAAGGGGGGTGGGGGATGGGGCGGGGGTTAGATAAGTAGACAGGTAGGTAAATAGACAGGGATAAATATGAATTAAGAACTTAGGAAATGTACGTAAGAAAGTAATAGATATAGAAGGAAGTATTCAACCAATAATAATAGTAGCTCCTTTAACTTGTATTATTTATGTAAGGTATTTGTCGTGTTTTGTGTTTTGTCTTGTTTGTTTATCTGTTGGTGCTGTCCAAATCTTTTTCAATAAAAATTCAAATAATAATAATAATAATAAAATAATAAAATAATATAAAAATAATATAATGTGTGATAATATATTTATAATAATAAATAATAATAGAAATATAAAAATAAAATAATATAAAATAATATAATGTGTGATAATATATTTATAATTAATAATAATAAATAAGAATAAAATACGAATGTAAGAATATAATAATATGACAACAATAATAAAATAATATTTATTTATTATTTATTTCACAGTTTTGTATACCGAGCTTCTCAACCTTGTTGAGGGACTCAGCCTGGTTTACAGCCATAAAAACATATACATTCATTAAAATATCATATATCACAAATTACAAAACAACTTTAAAAACACTAAACATAAAACTACAGTGGTCAGTCGTCCTAATAAGATGGATCTATATCCACTTCCATCCAGAGTCCTATGGTGTTGTCTCATTCCTCGAAGGCCTGACTCCACAGCCACGTCTTCACCCGTTTCCTAAATGTTAGGATGGATGGGGCGGTTCTGGCCTCCAGAGGGAGAGAGTTCCAGAGTCGTGGGGCCACCACCGAGAAGGCCCTGTCCCTCGTCCCCACCAGCCGCGCTTGCGAGGGTGGTGGGACCGAGAGCAGGGCCTCTCCAGGTGATCTTAGTAATCTTGATGGTTCGTAGGGGAGAATACGTTCGGAGAGGTGAACAGGGCCGGAGTCGTTTAGGGCTTTATAGGTCAACACCAGCACTTTGAATTGTGCTCGGAAGCTAATTGGCAGCCAGTGGAGCTGGCGTAACAGCGGAGTGGTGTGCTCCCTGTACCCAGCCCCCGTTAGTAATCTGGCTGCCGCGTGTTGGACTTGCTGCAGCTTCCGGGCAGTCTTCAAAGGCAACCCCACGTAGAGAGCGTTGCAGTAATCTAAGCGGGATGTAACCAAAGCGTGTACTGCCGTGGCCAAGTCAGCCCTCCCAAGGTACGGACGCAGCTGGCGCATAAGTTTTAATTGTGCGAAAGCTCCCCTGACCACCGCTGAGACCTGGGGTTCCAGGCTCAGCGATGAATCCAGGAGAACTCCCAGACTGCGTACCTGAGGTTTTAGGGGGAGTGTAACCCCGTCCAGCACAGGCTGTAACCCCGTACCCTGTTCGGTCTTACGACTGACCAGGAGTACCTCTGTCTTGTCTGGATTTAGTTTCAATCTGTTGTCCCTCATCCAGTCCGATATAATATTAAGTCCCGTTGTGTCTGACTCTGGAGGTTGGTGCTCATCTCCATTTCTAAGCCAAAGAGCCAGCGTTGGACGTAGACACAATAATTATATTTAATTATATTTATGTCTCACTGACTCTTCTTAAGACTCAAAGCAGCATTAAAAACTATATTTTGCAGGTGTTAAATTACAATCTACCATCTATGACACTTAAACATTAAAATAGAATAGGCCAAAATCCTTAGAAAATGGTCAAACATCGTTATTGCTGCTTTAAATATTTTTGTGCATGAAGCAAAGTCTGTGCACAATGAGCTATCAGAAAGCAAAAAGGTCACTCTCTCAGGTACCCACATAGACAATTTTGCAGTATTTTGGAATTTTGAAATTCTAGATCTGGAGTGTTCAACCTGTGCACAGAAAAAGCGAGAGGAGACCGAATCCTGTTAGTCCTTGAACTGATGAGTCCAAGTGTTACCTACAGTTGTAATATTTTATTTTCCAAGTTGTTTATAGGCAAATGAAGACTGGCTGACCCTGGAAACAATGCCTGACGATGAGGAGAAGGTTAACTTGCGTCGCCTTGAGCCAGCCATCCAGAAGTTCATTAAAGTCGCCATTCCGACGGATCTGGAGCGGTTACGAAAGCATCAGATAAACATTGAAAAGGTTTGGTGGCGGTGGTTGTTTTCCCTTTAATTTTAAAGTATGCATTAGGCACATGGGCAGGAAAATGTCTCAATGTTTGAATTAAGCAAAGCTGAAATATTTTGACTTTTCAAATGTTGAAAGTGAGAGCTACCAATTTGCACAATAGACACACCATCTGGATCAAGCCATGTTTTCCTGGACTAGGAATGAGCAGGATTATTCTTTCTGTGACATTGCAGGAAGTGTTTACCTTTAGTCCAATAATCTCCTGAATGCCTCCTAAATTCACAGCTTGAAAAGGTGAAATCAATGCTAATCACTGGGTTGTTGTAGGTTTTTCCGGGCTATATGGCCATGTTCTAGAGGCATTTTCTCCTGACGTTTCGCCTGCATCTATGGCAAGCATCCTCAGAGGTAGTGAGGTCTGTTGGAAGTAGGAAAATGGGTTTATTTATATATCTGTGGAATGACCAGGGTGGGGCAAAGGACTCTTGTCTGCTGGAGCTAGGTGTGGCTGTTTCAACTGACGACCTTAATTGGCATTTGATGGCTTGGCAGTGCCTGAGGGAATCTTTTGTTTAGAGGTGATTAGATGTGCTATTCAGTGCTAATCAAGATGCACCTTGATTAGCATTGAATAGCCTTGCAGCTTCAAAGCTTGGCTGCTTCCTGCCTGGGGAATCCTTTGTTGGGAGGTGATTAGATGTGCTATTCAATGCTAACCAAGATGCATCTTGATTAGCATTGAATAGCCTTGCAGCTTCAAAGCTTGGCTGCTTCCTGCCTGGGGGAATCCTTTGTTGGGAGGTGGTTAGCTGGCCCTGATGGTTTCCTGTCTGGAATTCCCCTGGTTTTGAGTGTTGTTCTTTATTTACTCTCCTAATTTTTAGTGGTTTTTAAAGTAGACGTAGCCAGATTTTTAAAACTGGCAGGCAGGAAGCAGCCAAGCTTTGAAGCTGCAGGGCTATTCAATGCTAATCAAGGTGGCCAATTGCAACACTCACACCTGCCTCAAGCAGACAAGAGTTCTTTCCCTCACCTATTTACTCTCCTGATTTTAGTGTTTTTTTAGTACTATTTGCCAGATTTTTAAGCCTGGTAGGCAGGAAGCAGCCAAGCTTTGAAGCTGCAAGGCTGTGCAATGCTAATCAAGGTGGCCAGTTGCAACATTCACACCTGCCTCAAGCAGACAAGAGATCTTTCCCTCACCTATTTCCTGATTTTTAGCATTTTCTTAGTACTACTTGCCAGATTTTTAAAACTGGAAGGCAGGAAGCAGCCAAGCTTTGAAGCTGCAAGGCTGTGCAATGCTAATCAAGGTGGCCAACTGCAACATTCACGCCTGCCTCAAGCAGACAAGAGTTCTTTCCCTCACCTGATTTTTAGTGTTTTTTTAATACTATTTGCCAGATTTTTAAAACTGGAAGGCAGGAAGCAGCCAAGCTTTGAAGCTGCTAGGCTATTCAGTTCTAATCAAAGTGACCAATTGCAACATTCACACCTGCCTCAAGCAGACAAGAATTCTTTCCCTCACCTATTTAGTCTCCTGATTTTTAGTGTTTTTTTTATTACTATTTGCCAGATTTTTAAAACTGGAAGGCAGGAAGCAGCCAAGCTTTGAAGCTGCAAGGCTATGCAATGCTAATCAAGGTGGCCAACTGCAACATTCACGCCTGCCTCAAGCAGACAAGAGTTCTTTCCCTCACCTATTTACTCTCCTGATTTTTAGTGTTTTTTTTAATACTATTTGCCAGATTTTTAAGCCTGGTAGGCAGGAAGCAGCCAAGCTTTGAAGCTGCAAGGCTATGCAACGCTAATCAAGGTGGCCAATTGCAACATTCACATTTACCTCACAATTAACTCAAACAAAAGTTCTTCCTTCCACCCTGGACATCATTCCACAGGGATATAAACATCCTCACAACCTCTGAAGATGCCTGCCATAGATGTAGGTGAAACGTCAGGAGAGAATGCTTCTGGAACATGGCCAGAAAAACTGGAAAACTCACAGCAAACCATTATGGAAGTTGTTGTACATAAAACTACAAGTTTGCCAAACTCTGATTTAAGTTACAGTCCGATATAGAAGAGGTTTTCTATGCTTCAGACCATATTTCTCTTCTTCCTTGCCAGGAATTTCCAAGTTGTTTGTACACAAGAGTTTGCAACTTGGAGCCATTCAGAAATGAAAAAGGATTAGTTATTATTCCTGCCTCTAGTTTCAACCAACAATAAGAGTGACTACGAAATGAATTGTAATTTTTTCTCTATTCTCTTTATTTCTAGTATCAGAGGTGCGGACTATGGGACAGGTTACACCAAGAACACATCAACGCAGGCCGTACTGTCCAGGTAAGGGTTGGAGTTTTGACAGAAAACTGTTGTGGATTATTGCGATTCCTGGTTTGACAATGCTTGTGTGAAAGGGCTCTTGGAATCTTAATTGACCCCATTAGGCAATAGTGTGATGCAGCAGCAGAAAAAGCCAAAGGTGCATCAATAGAAGCATAGAAGTGTCCAAGTCCCAGTCCCACTCTCTTCTTTGTGGGTTGTGCTTTTCTGTGTTTGTGTGTCTTTCGTTTTGGGGTGTCTTTGTGGATCTGTGTAGTACCACCATTAGTTTTTATGTTCCTTGTAACTTTGCAGGTTGGCCCTTTTCACTTACAGGTGTTGAGTGTTTTCCTTCCTTAACTATCCTTTCCTCACCTTTTGTAGTTAGTATGTCTGTCTTTTCACTTGCTGAGCTACCATTTGTGATTGTTTTATCTGGCATGTCTGAAGGCACCTCTTTGATTTTGCATAACCTTTCCCAACCATCACCACACTACAACAGTAGATGTGGCTCTTAATGAGACATGCCGCATTATCACGGGGTGCCTGCGCCCTACACCACTGGAGAAATTACACTGCTTAGCCGGTATTGCACCACCTGACATCCGCCGGGAAGTAGCAGCCAATAGTGAAAGGACCAAGGCAGAGACATCTCCAGCTCATCCCTTGTTTGGGTATCAGCCAGCACAGCAACGACTTAAATCAAGAAATAGTTTTCTAAGATCTACAGAAGGAACACCTCAGCAAGCGAAAGTCCAAAAGTGGCAGGCTCAAACCCAGAACCTCAACCAATGGCTGATACCAAATGAGAGACTCCCCGCTGGGCACACAGAGGACTGGGCAACTTGGAAGGCACTGAACCACGAGATGCAGAGCCAATATTCAGCAATGGGGCCACAAAGTGGAATCCACGACGTGCGAGTGCGGAGAAGAGCCAACCACTGACCACCTGCTGCAATGCACCCTGAGCCCTGCCACATGCACAATGGAGGACCTTCTTGCGGCAACACCAGAGGCACTCCAAGGGGCCAGAGACTGGTCAAAGGACATTTAATCAACTACCAAACTCGCAAATTTTGTGTTTTGTCTGTCTGTTTGTTTGTTTTTGTTCTGCTAGAATTGTAATACAATTGACTGGTTGCCCTGAAATGACAAATAAATTATTTCTTGAGCCCAAAACCATGCCAAACCCATTATGAAATTTGTATTTATTTTTGAAATGCCCAATGAACCTCAGTCTTCTCCACTTTGGCTACTTTGGCTCTCCTCAAAAAACCCTTGAAGTGAATTAATTGGATTATAGTCAGCACTTTGACTAACTAAATTGCAATGACATCTTCTGCTTTGGTCAGACCTAACCTGGGATAATAATCCTGTGTCCAGTTCTGGGCAAAGCAAGGCAAGAAGGAGAGGGACTTCCTGACTGTGAGAGCTGTTCAGCAATGGAACTCTCTGCCCTGGAGTGTGGTGGAGGCTCCTTCTTTGGAGACTTTGAAACAGAGGCTTGGTGGCCATCTGTCGGGGGTGCTTTGAATACGATTTTCCTGCTTATTGGCAGAATGGGGTTGGACCGGATGGCCCACAAGGTCTCTTCAAACTGTTGGAAAATATATTCCACCTAAATATGAGGAAGTTTTCTATGGTGGAATGTGCTGCTTTCTTAAGAGTGTGTTGGAATCTCCTTCTCTGGAGGTTTTTAAGCAGAGACTAGATGGCCATCTGTCGGGAGGGCTTGGACTGTGTGAATTCACTGCCTTCCTGCTTGGCCACTATTTTCCTGTTGTTGTGTTTGTGTTTATTGTTGGAACTTGTGTACCCATTTAAAACACACAAGGTGACTCCTTTTTTCAGAGCCTGCAGAATCTGTCGGGCGTTGGGTCACTCTCTGGATCTTGCCTTGATGTGTTCTCAGTCACGGTTTACTGATATGGAAGATGCCGTGAGAATGAGAAACATCATAGGAAAAACAGAATTGATAAAGGGAGACGGCTCTTTATCTGCTCTATGAACCAACGAGGCTGATAATCAGATTCTTGCACTTTGGATCAAGCCAAGTCTCTGAATCACAGAATCAGTTGATGGATTTTCAAAAAAAAGCTATTCTTGAGGTGTCCTCCCTAACTAGCCTAGAATAATGCGTGCAGATCCCAGTAAGGTGGCCTTCTACAGCTGGCAGATGGTGATTTTGTCAGCGCCGATTGTGTTTAAGTGCATGCCAAGGTCTTGAGGCACTGCACCCAGTGCGCTGATCACCACTGGGACCACCTTGACTGGCTTGTGCCAGAGTCTTTGCAGTTCGATCTTTAAATCCTCACATTGTGTAAGCTTTTTTGTTATATCTATACCCCCCTTTATCTCTCCCAAAGGGGACTCAAAGTGGCTTAATGTGAAAGCATTAGCGCATAATTTAAAACATCTTAAAAATTAAAGCATCACTAGGTTAGGCATTGGTGAACTTTGGCCCTCCAGTTGTTTTGGACTTCAACTCCCACAATTTGTAACAGCCTCAGGCCCCTTTTCCCTTTCCTTTTCCACTTAAGAGACAGAGGGAGAAAAGGAAAGGGACTGAGACTGTTTGGAATGATGGGAGTTGAAGTCCAAAACACCTGAAAGGCCGAAATTTGCCCATGCCTCTGAACCCTTGTCTTCAAAGCTGTCTCCTGCATCCTTACTGTTTTGCTTAGAATAATTATGCATAATACTAGTCTACCCGCCACGTGTTGCTGTGGCCAACCGTACCTTTCTCTTTTCCTCCTTCCTTCTCTCCCTCTTTCCTTCCTTCCCTTTTTTCTTTCCTTCCCTCCTTCCTTCCTTCTCTACCTTTCCTTCCTTCCCCCTTTTTCTTTAGCTCCTTTTTCTCTCATTTCTTCCTTCGTTTTTGCTTCCATCTTTTCTTCTCTCTTTCCTTCCCTCCCTTTTTTCTCCTTCTTTCCCCCCTTCCTTCACTCCTTTTTTCCTTCCTTCCCTTTTTTCTTTCTTTCTCTCCTTCCTTCCTTCTCTACCTTTCCTTCCTTCCCCCTTTTCATTATCTTCTTCTTTCTCTCATTTCTTCCTTCCTTCCTTCCCTACCTCTTTCCTTCTTCCCTTCTTCCCTTCTTCCCTTCTTTCCTTCCTTCCTTCATTCCTTCCTTCCTTCACTTTTGGGTTTCATCCTTCCTTCTCTCTTTCCTTCCCTCCCTTTTCTCTCCTTCTTTCCTCCCCTTTTTCTTTTTTTCTCTCCTTCCTTTCTTCTCTACCTTTCCTTCCTTCCCCCTTTCTTTATCTTCTTCTTTCTCTCATTTCTTCCTTCCCTATCTCTTTCCTTCCTTCCTTCCTTCCTTCCTTCCTTCCTTCCTTCCTTCCTTCCTTCACTTTTTGGTTCCATCCTTCCTTCTCTCTTTCCTTCCCCCCCCCTTTCTCTCCTTCTTTCCCTCCTTCCTTCCCTTTTTTCTTTCTTTCTCTCCTTCCTTCCTTCTCTACCTTTCCTTCCTTCCCCCTTTTCTTTATCTTCTTCTTTCTCTCATTTCTTCCTTCCTTCTTTCCCTACCCCTTTCCTTCTTTCCTTCTTCTTTCCTTCTTCCCTCCCTCCCTCCCTCCGTTCCTTCTCTATCTCTTTCCTTCCTTCTGTCTTTCCTTCTTTATTTCCCTCCCTCTTTCTCTCTCTTTTTCTTTCTTTCTCCCCTTCTTTCCCTCTCTTCCTTCCCTTTTTTGTATCATTTTTAGCTTTTCGTTCATTTAGCTTTTTGGGGGTTTTTAAGTCCTTTTCGCTGTTTTGGGGAGGGTTTATAAGTTATGGTCACTCGTTGGCCTGTTAGGGGTATAGTATCCAAATTTTGTGTCAGTTCATCCAGTGGTTTTTGAGTTACGTTAATCCCACAAACGAACATTACATTTTTATTTATATAGATGGAAATAATACTTCTCGCTGGGGTGTGTCCCCCTAAATCTGTGTCTCTTTGAACCTTTGTAGCAATTGCGAGCCAACATCCGAGAGATGGAGACGCTTTGTTTGCGGGTCCGGAAGGAAGACATGCTGACTTTGCAGAGACTGATCCACCCGGTGAAAGACCAGGCTTCTTCGGCCATCAGGGAGTTCCTGCAGCTGCATTCGGAGTCTGCCGAAGAGCTTAAGAAGCAGTTCAGAGAGGCAGACGGGTCACTTTCGGCTTCTTTAACTAGGTCCACCACCGTAGGAGCAGGTCTGTCAGGCCCTATTCAAATCAGGGTATTCTTGGTAACAGAGTGACCGTCCTTTATGCGAAATTCTTGCAATCAGAAGTGGTTTAGGTTTCATAAATATGTCCGTAACAGGTTACTGTATATACTCGAGTATAAGACTAGTTTTTCAGCCTTTTTTTTAGGCTGAAAAAGTCCCCTTCGGCTTATGTTCGAGTCAAGGTTATTTATTATTTTACCCTGTTAGAAATACATAATAAATGTATTGTTGTTGTTGTTGTTGTTGTTGTTGTTGTTACATTGATCATTATACTTTATTATTGTTTTTATTATTACATTTATTATTTTACTCTATTATTACTGTTAAATTATTACTGATGAAAGCAGACTAATTTCTTTAAAATGTATATTTATCCTAGGACTAGCTGTACCCGCCACATGTTGCTGTGACCAACCTTCCCTCCCTCTTTCTCTCCTTCCTTTCCTCCCTCCCTCTTTCTTTCCTTCCTTCCTTCCTTCCTTCCTTCCTTCCTTCCTTCCCTTTTTTCTTTCTCTCCTTCCTTCCTTCTCTTCTTCTTCCCTTCCTTGCCCCCCCCCACCTTTTTTTCTATTATATGTTTCATGCCTTAGAAATGATCAGGCTTCAGAGAGTTGGCAGCCATTTCCTTCCTGGCTGTTTCCAGTCAGCACTCTCTTCACTCTCCAAGGTGAAAGTGGCAGTTAAAACCGTTTCTCCCAGCAGCAAGCTAGAGACAGTAGCCAATCAGAATTCTGGCTCCTGGCACACTCGGCCAATCAGCTGCTGACATATTTCTTTCCAGTCAACCATTAAATCATGGTGTCTGTTTACAAATCCTCACACAGGTCTCTTCCAACTCTAGGATTCAATGGTTCTGTCTGATTCCCATATCGATCTCAATCCATTTCATGTCCCAAATTTCACTCCAGTATGGTTTTGAAACATGCCCTTTGGTTTGATTCAATTTATTGTGATGAATTGATCCAAATAATGTTTGTTCTCGAGGGTCAGGGAGTGGGGGTTATATTCTGATTAAAATAATTCAAAATGTATTTATTGGTATTAGTATGTTCTAGCTGCAAGTATTCCAAAAGAGAAATCCCAAAATGTGGAACTCTTCTGGGCACCACAATTGAAGAGAGATATTGACAAGCTTTAAACTGCCTTGAACAGGCAGGATTATTTTAAATATATGTGCTATTGTGGTTTTTAATGCTTATACTGTCTTGTTGATTTTATGTTTATGCTATTTTCTTTGTATGTATTGATTATGTTACTTGGAATCAGGTTTATAAATAAAGTTTTGTTGTTGTTGTTGTTGTTGTTGGAGAACAAGCCCTATGAGGAGCGGCTTAAAGAACTGGGCATGTTTAGCCTGTAGAAGAGAAGGCTGAGAGTAGACAGGATGAGGTCCATGTATAAATATGTGAGAGGAAGCCACAGGGAGGAGGGAGCAGGCTTCCTTTCTGCTTCCTTGAAGACTAGGACGCAGTGGAACAATGGCTTCAAACTACAAAAAAGGAGATTCCACCTGAACATGAGGAAGAACTTCCTGACTGTGAGAGCCGTTCAGCAGTGGAACTCTCTGCCTTGGAGTGTGGTGGGGGCTCTTTCTTTGGAGGCTTTAAAACAGAGGCTGGATGGTCATCTGTAGGAGGTGCTTTGAACGCGATTGTCCTGCTTCTTGGCAGAATGGGGTTGGACTGGATGGCCCAGGAGGTCTTTTCCAACTCTAAGAATCTCTGATTTTATAATTTTATGATTCTGTGCCAAACCACTTTGGGAGTCTCTGCTTGTACTGGTGGTGTGTTTGGGGGAAAAGGTCCTCGTATCACCTTGACATTTTCACATTTCTACACATTTGTCCTTTTTCCACCCAGAAACGTTTTATAACACTGGAGACGAAGGAAGTTCGGAGAATTTGACCCAGATGTTTTCCCCTCTTCCTGAAATTCCCCAGGATCAAAATGCGGCAGAATCGTGGGAGACGCTGGAAGAGGTATAGGTCACGCTTCCCTTGCTGTTGGCAATTCCTTTGCTTATTGTTATGATTTCCTTGGACAATAAGATAAAAGTAATCCTGGCCCTGTGGTCTCGTTGTAGGACCTGATTGAACTCGGCAACTTGGTGACAGATTTCTCCCTCCTGGTGAACGTAAGCATAGCAAGATTCAGCATTCCAGCATTTTAAAATGTAAACATGATACATACTAATGAAAACATGAAAGAGTGAAGAGAGGAGAGGCCAGGGGACAGTTCCACCTTGTCTCCTGTGCTATGCTAATATTTATTTATCGTTTCAGGAGCAAACCAAACAGTTGTATTGCATATTTTAACAAACAAACAAACAAAACACAAAGTTTGCAAGCTTGGTAGTTGATTAAATGTCCTTTGACCAGTAGCTGGCCACGTGGAGTACCTCTGGTGTTGCCGCAAGAAGGTCCTCCCTTGTGCATGTGGCAGGGCTCAGGTTGCATTGCAGCAGGTTGTCAGTGGTTTGCTCTTCTCCACACTCACATGTCGTGGATTCCACTTTGGCTCTGTATCTTGTGGTGCCAGAGTGCAGTCTGTTCAGCGCCTTCCTTATTGTTGCTAGAAACAATATCATACGAAAGCTGACTGGCACAACCTGGGGATCACAACCAGACACAGTGAAGACATCTGCCCTTGCGTTATGCCACTCTGCTGCTGAGTACGCATGCCCAGTGTGGAACACATCTCATCACGCTAAAACAGTGGATGTAGCTCTTAATGGGACATGCCGCATTATCACGGGGTGCCTGTGCCCTACACCACTGGAGAAATTACACTGTCTAGCCGGTATTGCACCACCTGACATCCGCTGGGAAGTGGCAGCCAATAGTGAAAGGACCAAGGCAGTGACATCTCTGGCCCATCCTCTGTTTGGGTATCAGCCAGCACGCCAATGACTTAAATCAAGAGATAGTTTTCTAAGATCTACAGAGACACTCGCTGGAACACCCCAGCAAGCGAGAGTCCAAAAGTGGCAGGCTCAAACCCAGAACCTCAACCCATGGCTGATACCAAATGAGAGACTCCCTCCTGGGCACACAGTGTGTTTAAGCATATAGATATAGTCCAAACCGTATAACTGCACTCACTGAAGTCTGAAAGGAGGCAAACTGCATCCACCTCCATTGAAGTCTGAAAGCATACTGTATAACAAAAATGGAATCCTGTGTCTGAAGCTCTTCCCACACCAAAGAGGTGCAGTCAAACTGGCAAACCAAAATGTACATACAATATAGGTTAACAGTCATACACATTTGCAAACAAACAGTGAAAGGCTTGGGAGATTTGCTATTTCCAACACTGAGAAACTTAAAGCAGTATTTATTTATATATTTTTGCATCCAGGCTCAGCAGGAGAAAGTTGACCGGATTGAAGACAACGTCAACGCTGCTGCTGCGAATGTTGAAGAGGGGACCAAGAGTTTGTCTAAGGTTGGTCATCTTTGGTTCGGTTTTTGAGGTCTGAAAGCACCAGGACTGTGGCGCTGTTGCCTGGGTGTCAGCTGCATTAAGATCACTTCTGACCAAAAGGTCATGAGTTTGAAGCCAGCCCGGGTCGGAGTGAGCTTCCGACCAATTGAGTAGCTTGTTGTCGACCTTTGCAACCTGAAAGGCAGTTGCATTTGTCAAGCAGGAAAATTAGGTACCACCTATGTTTGGGGAGGCTAATTTAACTAATTTATGACGCCATAAAAAGACTCGAGCAAAGCATGCGGGGAATGCGGGAGTACTTAATCAGTGTCGCAGATGGACGATGAGACGACAGCTTCCCTGGCGACCAGAAAAGTTAAATAGCTTCTGACTATCTGTCTGCATCTGTTGTGTGTCTTTGGCATTTGAATGTTAGCCATATATGTGTACATTGGAATCTGCCCCGAGTCCCCTGCGAGGTGAGAAGGGCGGAATATAAATACTGTAAATAAATAAAAGAAATTTTCAAACTGCTAGGTTAGCAGGAGCTAGGGCTAACAGCAAAAGCTCACCCCACTCCCTGGATTCAGTCTGGCAACCTTTCAGCCAGCAAGTTCAGTAGCTCAGCGGTTTAACCCGCTGCAACACCAGGGAGTCCTTTAGACACATTAGACGCAAGTAAATATGGGTAGTCCTGCTCTAATCCGCTTTGGTCAGATCTCCCCTGGAATAGTAATCCTGTGTCCAGAAATGGGTGACCGAAATGGTCAAAGGTCTGGAAACCATGAATCCCTCTGATGAGCAGCTTAGGGAGCTGGGAGTGAGGTCTCACATCCTCTGAGGATGCTTGCCATAGATGCAGGCGAAACGTCAGGAGAGAATGCTTCTAGAACTTGGCCATATAGCCCCAAAACCTACAGCAACCCAGTAATTACAGCCACGAAAGCCTTCAACAATAGAAAGGGATTGGATTGGAAGCTTTTGAGGAGTTGCCTCCAAATCTATGACTCTTTTCCCCAACTCTCCCAGCCATTCCTGGCATCATCTTGTGATTGGATATTTGAAGCTGCTTTTGACATGTAGTATGAAATGCCTTAGTGGATGATCTCTGCAGAGAGATCGACGGGGTGTGTTGGTTCTCCTGGACCTCTCAGCAGCCTTCGATACCGTAGACCACGGTATCCTTCTAGGGAACCTCGTGGGGATGGATCTTGGAGGGACTGTCCTGCAGTGGCTCCAGTCCTTCCTGGAGGGTCGTACCCAGAAGATGTTGCTGGGGGACTCCTGCTCGGCCCCACAGCCATTGTCCTGTGGGGTCCCTCAGGGTTCAGTATTGTCCCCATGTTGTTTAATATCTACATGAAGCTGTTGGGTGAGATCATCGGAGTTTTGGAGTTCGATGCCATCTGTATGCAGATGACGTCCAACTCTATCACTCGTTTCCACCAGATGCGAAGGAGGCTGTCCAAGTCCTGAACTGGTGCCTGGCCGCTGTGACGGTCTGGATGAGGGCGAGCACATTGAAGTTGAATCCAGACAAGACAGAGGTCCTCCTGGTCAGTTGCAAGGCCAAACAGGGTATTGGGTCGCAACCTGTGCTGAATGGGGTCGCACTCCCCTTGAAGGCACAGGTTCGCAGCTTGGGAGTTCTCCTGGATTCATCACTCAGCCTGGAATCCCAGGTTGCAGCCATGGCCAGGGGAGCATTCGCACAATTATAACTTGTGCGCCAGCGGCACCCATACCTTTGGAAGTCAGACTTGGCCATGGTGGTTCATGCTCTCGTTACATCTAGGATAGACTACTGCAACGCGCTCTACGTGGGGCTGACTTTGAAGACTGCTTGGAAGCTTCAAATAGTCCAAAGAGAGGCAGCCAGGTTAATAACTGGGGCGGCATCCCGTTTAGACTACTGCAACGCTCTCTACGTGGGGTTGCCTCTGAAGACTGCCCGGAAGCTGCAGCAAGTACAACGTGCGGCAGCCAGATTACTAACAGGTGCTGGGTACAGGGAGCACACCACTCCGCTGTTACACCAGCTCCACTGGCTGCCAATTAGCTTCCGAGCACAATTCAAAGTGCTGGTGTTAACCTATAAAGCCCTAAACGACTCCGGCCCGGTTTACCTCTCCAAACGTATTCTCTCCTACGAACCATCAAGATTACTAAGATCGTCTGGAGGGGCCCTGCTCTCCGTCCCGCCGGCCTCACAAGTGCGGCTGGTGGGGACGAGGGACAGGGCCTTCTCGGTAGTGGCCCCGCGACTCTGGAACTCTCTCCTGCCAGAGGTTAGAACTGCCCCAACAATCCTGACATTCAGGAAACAGGTGAAGTCGTGGTTAATGGAGACAGGCTTTTGAAGAATGAGACAATGATCTGGATGGAAGACGGTGTATATTCGATTTTAGTATGAGGACTGACCATTGTAGTTTTAGATATATGTGCTTTTTTAATGTTTTATTGTAATGTGTATTTTGATATTTTACCGATTGTATGTGTTTTTATGGTTGGAAACCGGGCTGAGTCCCTCTTATGAGGTGAGAAGCTCGGTATATAAAACTTTGAAATAATAATAAATAAATAATGTAGGGAGCATACAACTCCCATGTTGCACCAGCTCCACTGGCTGCCGGTTTGCTACCAGGCACAATTCAAAGTGCTGGCTTTGGCCAATATAGCCCTAAACGGCTCCAGCTCAATTTACCTGTCCGAACACATCTCCCCCTATGAACCATCGCAGAGATTAAGATCCTCCGGGGAGGCCCTGCTTTCCATCCTGCCATTGTCACAGGAACGATTGGTGAGGACTATAGACAGAGCCTTCTTGGTGATTGCTCCCCGGCTATGGAACTCCCTTCCTGGTGAGATCAGGTCGGCCCCCTCTCTCCTCTCCTTTAGAAGGATGGTCAAAACTTGGCTGTGGGACCAAGCTTTCGGGACAATGATCGGAAACCTTACCAGGCCAATTAGATTAGATGCAGATGACCAAGATGGTTTTAAATTGTGTATTTTAATATTTTGATAAATGTTTTTAATGTTTATGTTTGTGTATAACAATTTGTGTCCTGGAATGTTTGCCGTATATATGCTGTGCTCCGCCCTGAGTCCCCTTCGGGGTGAGAAGGATGGAATATCAATATTTTAAATAAAATAAAATAAATAAATATGCCAGCAAGAGACCTGAAGGCCTGTCCTTATGGTGACCCTTCTGCCTCCTTTCTCTCAGGCTGCCAAGTACAAGCTGGCGGCGCTCCCGGTTGCGGGGGCCGTGCTGGGCGGCATGGTGGGGGGCCCCATCGGGCTCCTGGCCGGCTTCAAGATCGCCGGTGTTGCTGCGGCCATCGGCGGAGGCGTCCTGGGCTTCACGGGCGGGAAACTCATCCAGAGGAAGAAGCGGAAGGTGATCGAAGAGCTCTCCTCCAGTTGCCCGGACATCCAGGGTCAGAGTGACCGGAAGAGCAGCTGAAGGAGGCCGGTTTCTCCTCTCCCTCTTCTCCAAAATGGCCTGGATTTGGATTTGGCTTGGATATCTTCGAATCGGATCCGTCCTTGAGTCATTCCTGATCCGGAAGCGACAGCCATGGCAGACTTCCTTGGAGAGAAAACCAGCCTTCTTTTCCTTTCCAGAAGGATGGCAACAGAAAAGGAGAGGAAAGGCAAGCCTTGGAGGGGGTTTCTTCCCCCAAATATGCCTTTATGCAGTATAGGCGGACATGGAGACTGTATTTGAAGCAGAAATTGCTGAGTGCCTTGACGACGTCCCTCTTCCTCAGATGTTTTACTCATTTGCACATAGGTCACTTTGCGTTGTTTTTAATGGGTTTGGACTTTGCAGCTCATTTTCCCCCATCTGGCTTAAGTGAGGAGGGCTTCTCTCCTTCTCCCCAATATTATCAAGATTTTAGTTTTTAAAACTTTCATAAGTTTATGGACCTCAAGCCAGGACTATCCATCTGTCTTCCAAAGCAGTTTAGCTTTGAGCAAAATCAGAATTGGGAGCCAAAGGGGAACGTTTGCGAGTCTGTATTCATAAGCTTCTCTTTCAAATATTGACAATTCTCAACCGTTTTTAATTTTTTTGCCGGCATCTCCTTAAAAACGAGCTTGTCAGGATGAAACCTTGCCTTCATAAAGCTGCTTCATCATACCTGGCTTTTCTCTAAATGCCTTTTCATATCCATACGATAATAGCTGACCTTATTATATCATCCAAAGATGATGCCAATACTGTGCCAATCGGATGCCTTTTGCTGGAACGGGCATTCAGGAGTTACCAGTTTCACTGGGATATTATGGTTTTTGAATGAGAGTTGTGTCTTATTTTAACAAAAATAGTTCTAATGTTTTGTCGGAGGCTTTCATTGCCAGAATCACTGGGTTGTTGTGAGTTTTGCGGGCTGTCTGGCCGTATTCCAGAAGCATTCTCTCCTGACGTTTCGCCCACACCTATGGAAGGCATCCTCAGAGGTTGTGAGTCCGTTGGAAACTAGGCAAGTGGGGTTCATATATCTGTGGAATGTCCAGGGTGGAAGAAAGAACTCTTTGTCTTTGGAGGCAAATGTGAATGTTGTAATTGTCCACCTTGATTAGCACTAATGGCCTAGCAGTTTCTGTTGTGCAGCAAGCAGATCTTAGCCACGTCCCATGCACAAGACACACAGACAAGTGTAGAGATGAACAGAAAAATCTTTACTATTAATAGCAGAGATGAAATACAAACTTTCAGTATTGCTGTTGCACCTCAGAGTAGAACCACCTTGCTTAAGACACCAAGGAACACACCAGCAGTTGTCTTTGTAGTTTTATTTAAAATTCAAAAACAGGGGAACTCCAGACAAGAAACCATCAAGGCCAGCTAATCACCTCCCAGCAAAGGATTCCCCCAGGCAGTAAGAAGCCAGACCTTGAAACTGCTAGGCCATTAAATGCTAATCAAGGTGCCCAATAGCAACGTTCACACTTGCCTCTAACAGACAAGAGTTCTTTCTCCCACCATGGACATTCCACAGATATATAAACCCCTGTTGCACTCCAGGTCACACCACACGAAGAGTGAAGAAACAAATCTTCTTTTATTGAAGCTTAGTAAATAGCCAGAAGAAATAAATGCTTGTAAGAAAGTAAGGTTCCAAAAAGTAATAAGTCCATAAAAAGCAGGAACACAAAGCAATGTCCACACCAGATATAAAAGCAATCCAAGACAGTGTTAATCCAGACAGGAATCAAACAGGATGCAAAGACAATCCAAAAGGCTAAAAAACTCCACAGGAATAAGACCCCTTGAACAGGATTTCCATGGCACATGAACTTGGTTTCCAAATGATGCCTGATCTAACAGGTTTCCCCTTGAGGCAAACTTTATATCCCAATACTCAGAAATTGGTTTTGCTACCCTTTTGCAACCCCAGAGCAGGAAACTGGACCCTCAGACAACAATTCACCACACTTGACTTCAGGAAAAACAATCCTTTTTTATTGAAGATAGATGAGTACAAAAATAGAGGAAATATGCAAGGTAAAAAGCCACAGTAAAAATCAGCAACAAGAAATGGCCATGGACAAGATCAAAAACCCACAGTAGCACTGTTAAATCCTGGAACCTGTTAGCAATCCATTAACCGTACTTGAAGCAACTAGGAAGCCTCTTAGGAATAAGGCCACTGGAATCAGGAGATCTACCAAGGATGATGCTTAAATCTGGAACAATGCCTGGTCTGAAGATACATCCAGGTGCGAGGTACTTAAAGCTGAGAAATTTATTATGTGACACGCCTGCAGGTTTTGTTTGCATTTCTCTCAGTCTAGCTGACCTTCGTAAACTTTGAGATTCTCCCCTGCTCTGCCAAATCTGCCCTCTCCTATCCTCATTAGAGAGACCAGGTGTCAGATTCTCCGGAGAGCTAAGACTGGGAGGAAATGGGAGTGAAAGTTCACCGCTTGGCTCTGAAATATTCTCATGGGAATTTGGACTTTCACTTTCCAAGGCTGCAGGAGTTTCACTACACAAACTGTCATCTTCTACATTGCCCTCAGAATCAACATCTTCATTGACATCAGGAAATATTATTTATTTATTATTTATTTATTTATTTACTGTCCTTGTATACCGCCGTTTCTCAGCCTAATTGGCGACTCAACGCGGTTTACAACAAAATATACAGTGCACAGTATACAATTAAAACCATAAAAAACATAATACACAATATTACACGAAATCACAATCCAATACATCTCCTAACTAAAATCGTGGTCCAATTGCATCATCCATATTACCAATCCGTAATCAACACATTCATTGCACCGAATTAGCCAAATGCCTGCTTGAACATCCAAGTTTTTAGTCTTCTTCGGAATACCATCAGCGAGGAGGCTGATCTTACCTCCATGGGAAGGGCGTTCCAGAGCCGAGGGGCCACCACAGAAAAGGCCCTGTCTCTCGTCCCCGCCAGCCGCACCTGTGAAGCAGGCGGGATAGAGAGCAGGGCCTCCCCAGAAGATCTTAGGGTCCTGGTGGGCTGATAGGCCGAGATACGTTCGGATAGGTAGGTTGGGCCAGAACCGTTTAGGGCTTTAAAGGCCAACGCCAGCACTTTGAATTGAGCCCGGTAGCAAATCGGCAGCCAGTGGAGCTGGTGCAGCAGAGGAGTTGTGTGCTCCCTGCGCTCCGCTCCAGTTAGTATCATTGCTGCCGACCGTTGGACTAATTGGAGCTTCCGAGCCGTCTTCAAAGGCAACCCCACGTAAATACAATCAGAGAATCAGGTTCAGGTTCACACACAGGCTGAACCCCAACATTCCCTCCACATTTCCCCCTTATCAGACGAAGCCTTTCGAACCGACGTAAACACTTAGTTTGCTGTTGATCCTGGCTAATCTCCAGCCACTTTTTCTTCAGCTCCCTATCTGGCTGCTCATTAAAATTTATTTATTTATTTGGTACACTTGTATACCGCTAATTTCTCAGCCTAGAACGGCGACTCAATTGCGGTTTACAGCATTTTAAAAACAATTCCCAGGTGTCATATTGTCTTCCAAACCCAAATCTTGAGAGCTCACAGAGAGAGGGAGTGAACTATCATTGCTAGGCGCAGCAGGGATATTCTCTTGAGAAACTGCCCTTTGCACTGAGGCCTCTCTATCATTGTCTGCTTGAAAATCATTGAACAACAATCTCCATCTTGTACCTCAGCCTCAGCACTATCATTTCCTCATCATTTCCCACATCAGGATCCTGAAACACAAACAGACTGATTCCCAACAACCCCATTTTCCTAGTTTCCAACAGATTTCACAACCTCTGAGGATGCCTGCCATAGATGCAGGCGAAACGTCAGGAGAGAATGCTTCTGGAACATGGCCATACTGCCCGGAGAACTCACAACAACCCAGAGTTCTAACATTTACAAGTTATCACATACTTTTAGAAGTTCGGTTATTTGTGGGGCATAATTTTTCCCGACTTGATTAATATACTCTCTCTGGAATTCTTGCACAGAGTTGTGCCAAAGGACCTAGAGATTCCTATAGACGTGTTCTCTCAATGATGGGTTTTAAAAGATGTTTTCACCCCAATGAATGTGAAGTCTGAACCGGATAAGTATTTTGGGTTTCAGATATTTCCAGAGAAGCCGAAGTTGACACTAAACTGAAAGATTTCAGGATTTTACTTGGGGACGATGCTGATATTGCAGAATTGCTTGGATACAAATAGCACAACTGGATCTTATAAAGCAAGCATGGGCCAACTTGGGCCTTCCAGGTGCTTTGGACTTCAACTCCCACCATTCCTAACAGCCTCAGGCCCTTTCCTTTTCCCCCTCAGCCGCTTAAGCGGCTGAGGGGGAAAAGGAAGGGGCCTGAGGCTGTTAGGAATGGTGGGAGTTGAAGTCCAAAGCACCTGGAAGGCCCAAGTTGGCCCATGCCTGACATAGAAAACAACACACACACTGCAGTATAATTGTATTTCAAAACACTGGTTCTAAGCAAATAAATATATTTCATAATATGTTTTAGATCTTGGATTTGTTTTGGTTTTTTCAGTTGCTATTGTGTGCCTTCAAGTCACTTTGGGACTTAACAGCAATACTAGGCAGAACTACTTAATACCTTCTTTGCCTTGGTCTTCTCACAAAAAGGTCATCTTCAACCTCAGCAAGATGGAGTGGATGAGAGATTAGAGGACATCCAACCCCAAATTGGGAAACAAGTCGTCCAGGAATACCTGGCCGCTCTAAATGAGTTCAAGTCCTCTTTCAGGGCCAGATCAACTACACCCAAGAGTACTGAAGGAACTAGCGGAAATCATTTCAGAACCATTGGCAATCATCTTGGAGAGTTCTTGCAGAACGGGAGAAGTTCCAGCAGACTGGAGGAGGGCCAATGTGGTCCCAATCTTCAAGAAGGGAAAAAAAGGATGACCCAAACAATGACCAATGTCCGATCAGCCCCACGTCGATACCAGGCAAGATTCTGGAAAAGATTGTTAAGGAAGTGGTCTGCAAGCACTTAGAAACAAATGCGGTCATCGCTAATAGTCAACATGGATTGATCAAAAACAAGTCGTGCCAGACTCATCTGATCTCTTTCTTCAATAGAGCTACAAGCTGGGTAGATGCGGGGAATGCCGTGGATGTGGCGTACCTGGATTTCAGGAAGGCCTTCTTTGACAAGGTCCCCCATGACCTTCTGGCAAGGAAACTAGTCCAATCAGGGCTAGGCAAGACTACGGTGAGGTGGATCTGGAATTGGTTAAGCGGACGAACCCAGAGGGTGCTCACCAATGCTTCCTCTTCATCTTGGAAAGAAGTGACAAGTGGAGTGCCGCAGGGTTCCGTCCTGGGCCTGGTCCTGTTCAGGATCTTTATTAATGACTTAGATGAAGGGCTAGAAGGCAGGATCATCAAGTTTGCAGGCAACACCAAATTGGGAGGGCTAGTCAATCCTCCAGAGGACAAGAGCAGGATTCAAAACGATCTTGACAGATTAGAGAGATGATTGGCCAAAATGAAGTTCAACAGTGACAAATGCAAGATACTCCACTTTGGCAGGAAAAACGA